GTGTGTGTGTGTGTGTGTGTGTGTGTGTGTGTGTGTCTATGCATGTGCACGCATGTGTGAGTTTTATTTCCTTGATTCACCAAAATAAAGTAGTAAAGAAGCCATCATGTGAATCAGGCTGCGTCTTCTTCAACAGTTGTTTACCTTGGTTTAAAGAAGTTCTTTTGAAAACATAAAAATTAAAATAAATAAATAAATAAATAAATAAGTTCTTTTGAGGAGTGATTACCTTATCAAATCTTAACTTCCGGGAATACTCTTCTTGTTCTTTCCTAGTTTCCTTATAATAAAGCGACTCCTCTTTACTAGTGGCCTCCTGTCCGTTGGGATTTGGTTGGGTGTTGACTTTTTTATTTGCTTCCCAGGTTGTTTGCATTCGCTCCACGTGGAATGCTCTCTCCCCGAAGCTCAGCTGTGACACGAGACCTCTCATTTTGAAGACCCTCAGTGAACTGTTCTCTCTGGTTCCTTCCTTGACAGTCAATACAGCTGAATATGAGGTATGCACTTGGAGCTCGATAAATTATCTGTTTCTACCTTGGAAAGACGTGGGCCTTATGATAACTTACGGAAGAAGATATTCGTAACCTTTGCCAAAACTCCTTTACCACATTTTGTTCTGAGAACGTGAAATCTTCGTGGAGTAGGAGTAGGAGAATATCCATCCTATCGATTCTGTCTTTTTAAGGCTTATTTACCTAAAGGATAGCAAGTTTTTATTAGGAGAAGATAGTCAAGATTTTTAAAAGTGTGTTAAAAATGGTGTTTCTAAAGTAATAGAATTCCTGAGGCCAAAAGTTGAAATTCATTTTGTTGGTGTTTTTACTTGTAAAAAATGTCACAAAGACTTTAATAAGGCAGGGCAGAAGTCTCCCATAGTACAGACATACTGTCATTTGTGTTTTGCTTCTACGTTTGTCATAGATTTGATTTTTACATGTTAGTTCACATTTCCTATGAACATCTATGAATAATGAGGATGATTGAAAAATCAAACTGTCTTAGGAGAGGAAAATAATTTTTTTAATTAATTGTTTTTAATGTTTTTATTTATTTTTGAGATAGAGACAGAGCATGAGCAGGGGAGGGGCAGAGAGAGAGGGAGACACAGAATCTGAAACAGGCTCCAGGCTCTGAGCTGTCAGCACAGAGCCTGACACGGGGCTCAAACTCACGGACTGTGAGATCATGACCTGAGCTGAAAGTGGACACTTAACTAACTGAGCCACCCCACCGCCCCGAGAGGAAAATAATTTTATGAGCTGCTCGGTATTTGTCATTGTAGTGACCCGAAACGCTTGGTGGAAGATGCTTTGCTAGAAGATTCATATATTCTGCTTAACATTTTCTGTATTATCTCTTCTTGAAATGAGTCAAATGAGAGAGTGGCGAATTCATTTATGTCTCGACTTTTGTCGCCATATCGCCGCTCATGCTCACCTTTTCCCTTTTTCCATTAAAGAGGAGCAATTGATTTTCACTTGAAGTCTTCGTGAACTTTTAGTTTGATTTAGTTCTTCAGAGACTTTGATAAACTACCTCCCCCGTAAGAATCCAATAATAGTCTCTTAAATGCTTTAGATTATGTGAGAAGGCAGGATTATAAGATAATACTTCTTCCAATAATTCTTAGTGCTGCACAGTGGATGAAATCAAACTTGTCCTTCCTGAAGATACAATACCTAGCATAGCGCCTGGCACATAACATATATTCAGTAAATAGTTCATGCATGATTGAACCAATATAGGGGGACTGTGAGTTTATTCTCACATTTGGGTTTTTGTTTCAGGGTATTAAAAAAAAAAGAATCAATTTGAGACTCTAGAGTATGTAGTTCACCAACCGTCTTTTTTATGGCGACCGTTATGATACATATACTTACGTTGTCAGAAAGTCTGTTGGGCTAGTAACACAGAGCTAAGACTAAAAGCCAAAGTAAGGACATGTTGTGTATATTCATTTTCTGTTTTCAAGGACTGCACTCATACACCTTTGTATTGCTTGTACTTTGAGTTATTCAGATTTTATTACAGGTTAATTTAGGAACTGGCTTTTGTGCTGGTTTCTTCTCTTTGCTTACCAGTGGCTGTCAGTTTTCTGTTGTGGGGAGGCGGGACTTGATTTTTTTTCTTTTTCGAACGTACATTCTTTTCCAGTGGTGTCTTATTCTGGTGTATCTTCATGCTTATCTTTTTTTTTTTTTTTT